AAAAAAAAAAAAAAAAAAAAAAAAACTGGTAGTTCCAAGCAGAATTTGGCAAAACAGACCTCAAAAATGGATACAGCACCTTGAAATTGGGTGGAATTGTCAGTTGACATGTGATGATGTTGCACTGAACTCAAGAGGATTGGCTGAGAGGTGGTGCTGACTTGTGCTAATATATGGCATCTTTGATGGAAGACACTGATTTCTCTCTTGGATCATGAAACGGAAGTGAATTTTTTTTTTTTTTGGCTGTTGGTTTGTATTTGAAAGGTGATATCTTGGATCTAAAGGCTTTGATACCAATTGATGTAGAATAGGAAGCAAAGGTGAGGATAGAACTTAGAAACAGAGGCAAAACAGAGGCAAGAGTGGGAAGAGAATAGCAGAATTAGGGATTTCTAGGAAATAATTTTAATTCATAAATACTTCAACTAAATAACCCTAATACAACGTACCTTAAATATAAAAGTTAAATACCCAAATTAGACTTACTTCCTAATTAGACTTCCAATTGAATCTTTATTGAAATATAATAATAAATCCTAATAAATATAAGCTACTAGTATTAGGATCTATTATTATCTTTCCATAAAGATTCAATTGGGAGTCTAATTAAGAAATAAATCTAATTTGGGCTTTTAGTTTTTATATTTAAGCATAGGTTGTATTACGGTTATTCAGTTGAAGTTTATGAATTGAAATTATTTTCTAGATATCCCTAATTCTGCTATTCTCTTCCCACCCTTACCTCTGTTTCTAAGTTCTATCGTCACCTTTGCTTCTTGTTCTGCATCAATCTAAGCATCAAATTCAAGACCAGTTTTATTCCCCAGTATGGCTCCATGGTAAAGTTGGGGTGTCATTTAGGATATAGGAATGTCTGGTTGTTTCAGTTAAGTTAATACTTGTTCTAGTACCTGGTTATTTATCGTCTTCAATCTATTGCTAGCCGCATTAGACTATGAGACCACTGGAAATAAAGTCTACGCGGCATCATAGCATGCACCTAAAAAGCATAGTTTCTCATGTGGAATTTATTAGTGTTCTTCTTGTGATTTATGAGTGCAATAATTTCCTTATTCCTTTCCTCTTTTACTGGATGAGTTAAACAGTGCCTTTTTAAGATTAGTTTCAATCCGTAAGATCATTGATTCTTCATACTACTGGATTAAGTAATAGCTAATATCTGATACTGACTATTATCATTAATCCCTTTCCCTTTTCTGTCCGTAGTGATAGTTGATTGACAATAGGTTACATGTAAAACTGTATGAATTCATAATGGGATATATCCACAATGCAAAGTAGATGCTTTGGATTTAGACTCTTTTAGATTACTTTAAATTTCTCATGACAAGACAATATTTTGCCCCTTTCAATTATTGGAAATGATCTGATGTATGCCATCTGAATTACATCATTTCTTTTGGTTTGGTAGGCACTGGTGCTGATGTTTGATGTGTCATTATTCCTTCCCCACAATTGTGCTCGGGTTTGGGCTTTGGCTTCAGAAAGACTCACTTCTCTTGAGATAGGCTACATTTCTTCAGATACAGTGACCGAACTCCTTAGCCCAAATATTGGACTGCAGTCCTCAAATGACATTCGACCATCCGTACTCCCAGGCATTCAGAAGCTAGCACTTTCAGTTGACTATATTACTGATACTATGGTTGGTACAATATCAAAAGGTCTCATCTCGTTGACACATTTGGATCTTCATGATGCACCCCTCATAGAGCCAAGAGTTACAATTGACCTTACCAACACCGGCCTTCAACAGATTAATTATCATGGAAAATTGAAACACCTCTCTCTGGTTCGAAGCCAGGAGTTTGAAATGACCTACTTTAAACGAGTTAATGATCTTGGGATTCTTCTAATGGCTGACAAGTGTGCCAACATGGAAAGCATTTGTCTTGGTGGCTTTTGCCGTGTGACTGATACAGGTTTTAAAACGCTATTGCATGCTTGCTCTAAGCTGTACAGGCTTCAGGTGTCAAATGGATCCCAATTAACCAACCTGGTTTTTCATGATATAGCTGCAACTTCTCTTTCATTGACACACGTTTGCTTGAGATGGTGTCATCTTCTAACCAATCTTGCGATTAAGAAATTGGTTTCCAATGTGGATCTTAAAGCTCTTGACCTAAGAGACTGCAAAAACCTTGGGGATGAGGCCCTACAAGCTATCAGCTCTCTCCGTAAGTTGAAGATTTTGAAGTTGAATGGTTCTGACGTTAGTGATGCTGGAGTAGCATACTTGAAACATGGAATTATAGTCTCATTAGTCTCATTATCTCTTAGAGGATGCAAGAGACTCACAGATAAATGCATCTTTGCTCTATTTGATGGCTCTTGTAAACTGGTGCTGCAACAACTGGACTTGTCCAATATCCCTAACCTCTCTGATGGTGGAGTTCTAGCACTTGCAAAAAGTCGGGTCCCAATTTCTGAACTCCGGTTACGGCAATGCCCACTCATAGGTGACACTTCAATAATTGCACTGGCCTCAATGCAGGTTGATGATGATAGAGGTCATGGTAGCAGTTTAAGGTTGCTGGATCTTTACAACTGTGGAGGAATCACGCAGCTGGCATTCAGGTGGCTGAAGAAACCATACTTTCCAAGGTTGAGATGGTTAGGAGTGACAGGAAGTGTGAATAGATTCATGGTCGATGCTTTAGCTAAGAACAGGCCATTCTTGCATGTTGCCTGCCATGGTGAGGAACTCGGAACTGATCAATGGGATGAATGGGATGACTCATTCCTCCACGATTATGATGAGATGGATGAGCTCGAAAGGTGGCTTCTGGAAGGAGAAAGTGAAGATGAAGAGATGGAGGATGCTGAAAACTTGGCATGATGGTGTGATTTGCTGTACCTGTATCACTTGTTCTTCTAGCTGTGTTGGAATAAATTTGCCTGTTAAACATTTCTGCTTGTGTTGTAACTTTGCAATAACTTCTCTATAGTTTTCAGTGTGAAGAAGGAAAAGACATATGCAGACGTCTGCCCTTTATTTACAAACCTGTAATCATGAAATAGAAAGTTGTGGAGGTAGTGATGCGGCTGTGGCATCTCTTCTCTCCTTTCATTATTATTGAGGTCTATAGTTCGAAGATAGTTGTAAAGGGATTT